TCTATGTCCATCCAGCGCCCTGGGCAAGAACAGCACGGATACGGCAGTATATTCGCGTCAAAGAGCTCCCTCGGAGACAAGCGCTACGGCGTCATGGGTTAAGTCCTGAGGAAGCCCCGAATGCGTGGGAAGACCTCAGGCAGCGTCGCCAAGTTTTGCTTTGGTTAGGACGCAAGTCCTGGGGAAGCCCCGAATGCGAGGGAACACCCCAGGCACAAATCGCTACGTTTTGCTGTGAGTACCTTGGCGGCGACTGGCTACCTACAACTCGGAGGACACCAGCTGGCTGGCAGCGGGCGGTCCACGCGTCGCCGTCGTACTACTGACCGACATCGACAGCATGCCCAGCACGGCCCCGCACACCTCTTATCAAGTCAACGCTGCCGTGGTGAGGCATGGATCAAACTTCGAGACGGGCTCGAAGGGCGGGGGGGAAGGACGAGTACTTCCCGCGCCCACCAGGGGGGATGGTGAGGGGCAGGGGGGGGGTAGGACGGCCACTACCTGCGCCCCCGCGGTCCGCCCTAGCTCGCCACCCCCACCATTCCCACGGAGAAGGAGGAGCTACCCGAGCGCCCGAGGGCGAAGCACAGGACAGCCGAGACATCCCATTCCGACGATAATAAGTACCAGGCCTGGGGTTCGCCCCCACCGAGGGCACTGTGACCCCAAGCCATAGCGGGACGAGGTGGGACAGCCAAGACCCCCACTTGAAGTCGGTGCATGGAGGCCTTGGAAGCCCACGACCAACACAACACCAGCAACGATCCGACTCCCCAACGACCCGACCAGCACGCTCCACATCCTACACTCAGCCCTACAAGCGACCGCCACCCACAACCCCCAAGATCAGCGCCCTCCTGTACTGCAGAGGCGGGGGCGGCATGAATGAGGACATCGGGTACTACGGCTAGTCGAGTACCAGGACGACCAGCACGACTGGACAGGATTGCGCAGGAGTACCACCCAGCCCAGCACGACTGGGACGAGGGATGCAAGTTCGAGCACCACAGTGTCAAGCAGCACTGCAGGCTCGAGCACATCATGGACTACTCGAAGAGAAGGGGCAGCGCGCCCCTCGGCGAGGGATACACAGCGCCAGGCGCCGAAGGGTGTATCTCCGTCGCCCTCGCGTGGCATGCGAGGGGCCGAGGCCAGCCGGCCCTGATCGGCATGATGACGAGAGCAGCCGCTGCAGGCTTGCTGGAGCCCACGAGCGGCTCGGCGAGCCTCCACAGCGCGCTGCGCCGAAGGGTGGAGGCCGCCGCAGCTGGGGGCAGCCAGCCACCCGAAGACCCCACGGCGGCTGGGCTCAGCGCGAGGCGCCGAAGGGAGCCCAGCCGCCACCACGCGGCCGCCAGCCCACGAAGAGGCCGTCGGCCTGGCCGTGCGCCGTGCCGCGCTGCCTGACGCCCGCGGGCGCGGGCGCGCGCGGCGCCCGCCCATGGGCCCTGACGGGCCCCCTTTTTTGCTGAAACCCGGCCCCCTTCTCTCTCCTCTGAGGTTTAACTTGGTCCCTGGTTCCCCCTGCTCTCCTCGGGGTCGGGTTCCCGGGGCCGCTGTCCGAGTGCCCGCACGGCCCTGATGGGCCGCTGCGGCGCGCTCCGCGCCCGCGGGGCGCGCGACAAGACGCTGCATAGCGAGAAATGTCAGAAATGTCAGGAGGAGGAGGAGGAGGAGGAGGAGGAGGAGGAGGAGGAGGAGGAGGAGGAGGAGGAGGAGGAGGAGGAGGAGGAGGAGGAGGAGGAGGAGGAGGAGGAGAAGGAGGAGGAGGAGGAGGAGGAGGAGGAGGAGGAGGAGGAGGAGGAGGAGGAGGAGGAGGGAGGGAGGAGGAGGAGGGAGGGAGGGAGGAGGGAGGGGGGAGGAGGAGGCAGGGAGGGGGAGGAGGGAGGAGGAGGAGGGAGGAGGAGGACGGGTCGCCTGAGCCCTTCGGAGAAACCCTCCGCCGCCAGCCTCTGGGCGGGGGCGTCGGGCCCCCCCCCCGGGAGCCGAGGCCGGGGGCCCGCCAGAGGCGCACCGCCGGGCTGCCCGGGCCTGCGGCGGCCGGAGCACGAGCGCTCGTCGCGCTCGTCGCGCCTCGCGCCTCGCTCCGCGGGTGAACCCCACGGCCTCGTGCGCCTGGACGGTTTCCCCCGGGGCCGCAGGTGACCCGAGGAGGGAGGGGAGGGTGAGAAAGGGAGGAGGAGGAGGAGGAGGAGGAGGAGGAGGAGGAGGAGGAGGAGGAGGAGGAGGAGGAGGAGGAGGAGGAGGAGGAGGAAGAGGAGGAGGAGGACGGGTCGCCTAGGCCTTTCGGAGAAACCCTCCACGTGCGCCCCCCCGTCGGTGTCTGCCGTCGTCGCTGCCGCCCCTCCCTCCTCACCGATCTCATGGCCAGGTCGGGCCTGTCCCCCTGCAGGGGGATTTCGGACGAAAGATCAGACGGAGTCAAACAATGCTCCAAACAAAATCCAAAAACACTCAAAACATCGTCCCCAGACTATTTTTTGACAATTTTGGAATATTCCTCCTGTAGAGGGACAGGCCCGACTTAATCTTATGGTGACCCATCCAGTTCAGACCCCCTGGCCGCCTCCAAGGCGGAGGGCCCCAAGCAGTGGGTCATTTGTTTGCTGCCTCGGTGCGCACTCGAGCGGCTTCGTGCGACCGCTCCGCGTGCACGCCCCATGCTTCTCCCAACAGAGATAACGCCAACTCTCCGGTCAGCGGCGAGCGAGGGGGGGAAGTGAGAGGGAGAAGGCCTTCTCAGAAGGCGGCGGGGCTTCTCTCAGAAGCCCTGGCGCCCTCCGAGAACCTCCCCGTGTAATCATTCGGTGAAGGCTTCCGAGAACTTCTCAGATGGCCGGGGGGACTTCCGAGCCTTCTCAGGAGGCCTTCTCCTTCTCACTTCGCCCCTGGGCCCGCCGCCGATCCCCGGGCACGCCGAGGTGCGGAGTGTGAAGTTCATCTTCGAGCCCACGCGGCCGACATAGCCGAAGAACAGAAGAGGCCGACAAGCACCAAAGATTGGAGGCGTGGAGAAGGGCACCAGCACCAACACAGGGGGTTGCCTCACAAGGGGAAGATGATCCTAGGTTTCGGTGTTGGTGGTAACATGTCGGCCACCTAGAAGCCCGAATATTACCACCATCGCCGAGATTGGGGGCATCTTCCCTCGGTGGAGGCACACCGCCGATGTTGGTGTTGGTGTCAAGCCCTAGGCCTCCGAAAAGAGGCGGCCCATTCCGATCAACTCGAGAACTGCGAACCCTGGACCTGACAACAAAAGCCCGGCCCACAGAACTCGGCCCGGAGCCAGGAGCCCGGGAACCTGGCCGCCCAGCCCGAAGCTTTCGCCGAGCCGCTCTTTCGGTTTCTGCCAGGAGCATCTCGGTGGAGTCGCTGATTGGGGAGTAGCACCACATTGCAGAATCGACCAAAACTTCGACGCCCGCCTCGGTCCCCGACCCCGGCACGTGGCGTCCTGGATTTGTCCACACGGGGTCCCCGGAAGCCCCGACCCTCTCCCCAGAGCCGGCTCCTCGGCGCGGGTCGCTCCTGCTGGCGGCCCCGCGGCCCCGCGAGGGCCCCTGGAGGTCGCAGACTGCCGACGACCCTCCCGTCGTGGTTCTTGGCTCGGGGGCGCGCAAATGTGGATTAGCGATCCATGGACTTGGCGCGCCGTCGCCTAATCCATGGATCGGGGGAGGTGCCCCCCCCAAAATGCGGCCGGCGCCGCCGCGTTCGGCGGCAGGAACCCGCGATTTCCCCTGGGAACGGGACCCGTCGCTAATCCACGCCCCCATTGATCCATGTTTGCGATCGCCTGATTGGGGTGTACCGCAGGGTTCCCCCCTTCTTCTGAGCGGCCAACCTTTCCGGGCGGAACTCGGGGACTGGGGTCAAGTCGGGCACGCCCCTCTACAGGAGAACTACTCAAGAGTCGCCAACAAAAAACAATCAGGGGACGATGTTCCTATTATTTTCCTGTAGCTTTATGTCGGGCGTGTCCCCCTACAAGGGGATTTTCGACGAAAAATAAGACATACCCGCAAAATGCGCCAAAAAGGCCAGGAAATACTCAACCAATCGTGCCCAGACTATGCTTTGCCCACTTCTGAAGATTCCCCCTGCAGAGGGGCAGGCCCTGTCTTCCTGCAGCTGTAGAGCGCGATCGCCTGACTGCTGCTGCGCGAGAGGGCCCCCACTGGCCTGGACCCTCCGCCGGCGGGCTCGCGCGCGAGCGGCCCTGGGCAGGCGAGGCCGCCGGTGCGCGGCCGCTCGGGGGGCGCGGGGGGGGGGGGGGGAGGGCAGCCCTGGCGCGCAGGCCGCTGCGGCCGCACCGCATGCGAGGATCGGGGGACCGCCGTGGGCCCGCAGCGAACTCGCGCGCCCGAAGCGGGGTCGGAAAAGAGAGGGGCAGAGTGTCCAAAGAGTGCATGCTGTCCAACACTGGCAGAAGGCCGCTGTTGGGCCAGCGGCCTTCCGTCTCGGATGGACAACGTCCGCGGCGATGCCGACAACGAATCCGGTCCAAAATGGTAAGGAGGTGCTGTCAGTGTTTGTGCCCGTTCTTTCCGTTCCCATTTCTAGGCGGCGAGCCTGGGGGGGAAGTGAGAAGGAGAAGGCCTTCTCAGAAGGCTGGGAAGTCCCCCGGCCTTCTGACAAGTCTTCCAAGCCTTCCCCGAAGACATGAACAAGTTCGCAGAAGGCGCCAGGGCTTCTGAGAAGTCCCGCCGCCTTCTGAGAAGGCCTTCTCCCTCTCACTTCCCCCCCTCACTCGCCGTCGAATTTCGATCCTCCCGACCAAAAACTAGGGCTCCCAACTTCGCGCTTCGCGCGCCGCGAAGCGCGAATAACTTCGCGCTCTCGCGCCGCCCCCCCAAGGGAGAAAAAGGAGGACGAGGAGGAGGGGGAGAAGGAACGAGGACCGCGAAGCGCGAAGCGCGAATAACTTCGCGCCCTCGAGGGAGCCCTTGAAAAATGCCCCTCTGGCGAAAAGTCACTCTCACGTGCTGGCCGGCGGTCCCTCGGAGGCCAGAGGCCTGTGCTGCCAGACGCCAGGAGGTCGGCGGCCTCGGCCTCCCCCTCCTTCGGCTCCGGCGGGGGCGGCCAGCGCGGCCGCGGACCGTCGCCGGGGAGCCTCGCTGGGAGCCGCCGCCGCCGCGTGGCCCCAGGAGGGTGCACAGTACGATGGGCCTGTTTTCCACCACCACAACCACCACCGGAAGTTGGAGGGGGGGAGGAGGTGGAGGATAGGAGGACGAAGAGGAGGAGGAGGAGGAGGAGGAGGAGGAGGAGGAGGAGGAGGAGGGGGAGGAGGAGGAGGCCATGCTAATGCTGCGCGCCCTCCTCGGAGGCGCACGTCCGGACCGAACGTGCTGTGCAAACAGCACGCGTCTTGCAGAACATCGTTTCCCGAGCGGCAGGGAATGCCCGCCATGGAGCATACAAGATGTCTGAGCGCGGGTCGCCCCTTTGGGGGCGACGCACACACAGTATTAGGTCGGGCCTGTCCCCCTACAGGCAGATTTTTGAGGAACAATCGGACATAGTCAAACATAGTCAAACATAACCCGTCCCCATACTATTTTGTGACCATTTTTGAATATTCCTCCTGTAGAGGGACACGCCCGACTAAAACATAGTATCAAAATGTTTGGGTGACGCCGACACATGGCCTCCTGGAGGACTGGCGATTCCAATCTCGGGCCCTCACTGCGTGGGGGGACAAAACGAATGGGGTGGGGGTGGTGGTGGGGGAGAAGCTCGTGCTTTCCAGCACCCTCGTGGGCTCCCGGCGCAGCTTTCGGAAGCCGGCTCAACCTTTTAAGGCTACTCTCTTCCAATCCTCGGCTCCCTCCCCCCTGCTTATTTCTTGCGCCTCCGCTGCCGAGCGCCCAGGAGGAGGAGGAGCCGCATTGCTCAATCGTGAGGCTTTGCCGCACCGGACCGTCACGATCAAGAAAAGACGGATGATACTGAAAGTGTGGAGACACATATTGTACAGCGGCCTTACCTGCCGCAGGCAGGTACGAAGGCAAGTCTGGATTTGTTCGTGGCCGCAGACAGCGCTGCAGAATTATGCAGTTGCCATGCGTGCAGACCACACGAGACATCTGTAGGCTCGTAATCAACAAAAACAAAAACTTGCCGGGGCCAAAAACAGGTCTGGGGCACGCCGAGAGTGAGGCAAGAGTGGGGCAAAGGCACCGCACACATCGTGCCTGTAGCGTATCTCGCCGAACATTCCGGATCGGACATGCACGTCCCCAATGCACAACGTAGAAAGAAACAACAAACAACACTACCAGATCGAGCAGCGTGCATACCGTTACACTGCGCGCGAAGTGCTGCGCTGAAAAATACCTCGTAGACCACCATTCGGGTGATCGCGAGTGCCCCCCCCACAGGAGAAGGATGCACTCGGGTGGCGAGGTGCTCTGCCTAAGACAGAAGCCCACCGCAGGCACAGACGCAGGCCAAAATCAGGGCCCCCTAAACCAGGACTGCTATCCAGGCCTTCGAAAAGTTCACCTGGATAATGCTTGCTCGGGCGCGCCAGTATGCTGGTTTAAAAGAGTCCCCGTTTGGGGTTGGGGGCTGCCCTCCTAAAACTACATTCCTAGCCGACCAAAAGATCCGTCGTCCCTTGAAACCACCGCCCGCCGCCAGCGGCGCCCTCATCACTGGGAAGCCTGCCTCTTCGCCTGCTCGAACTCCTGCACGGCGGCCTGCCACTTCGCCGCCGACGCCTTCAGGGACTCCTCGTAGGGGGCCCTGGACGCCTTCGCCAGCGCCTCGGAGATCCTCACGCCGGCCTGCTCCGAAGCCGCCCGCACCTCCCCTGCGAGGGCCGCCGCCTCCTTCGGATCACACCCCGCGAGGTCCGGCCGGAACTGGAAGGCCTCCGGCACGTCGGACCAGGCGTCGGCCAGCTGAGCCCAGTCCTGTCGGGTCGGGCGAAAGGGGGGGATAGCAAAGGGGGGGCTTGAGAATCACCTCGCGTAGCTGATTTCCCCGGCGCCTCCCGGCGCCGGAGGCGGCCATGTATCGAGGAACGGGCCCCTCGGTGGGGCCGAAACCAGCTGCATGCAGCAGATTTCGTACCCCCCCTCTTTCCCTATCCCCCCCTTTCGTTCGGCCCGATCCTGGTAGGCCCGCCAGCGCTGCTGGTGCAGGGCGTGGACCTCCTTCACGGCACTCACGGCGTCGTCCACCGAGGAGCCGCAGCTGATCCCGGAGGCGCCGTCGCCCAGCGTGCCGACGAGCGCCACGCAGTGGGCCACGAAGGCGCGGTTCGCCTCGGCGAGGCCGGCCTCGTGGGCCGCCTTCCAGCGGGCGCACGTCTCCTCCATCTCCTGCTCGAGGCTTGCCTTCTTTGCGACCAGCGCATCGTGAGTGGCCTTCACCGACTGGTGGTCAGCATCGATCTTGGCGATGGACTGGTCCAGCTCTCTCTTCTGCTGTGCCATCTTCTCCTTCATGGCTGGGTCGTCACTCTGCAGGTAGGCCTGCAGGAAGGCATTGACTTCCTTGCCCGCCCAGCTGCCCCTGTTGCTGGCGCACCATTTCATGAAATGCTCCTTGTCGAACTCAAGTTGCTTCATCAGTACGGCAAGGCTGTCTTTACCACCGTCGAGCTTCAGGGTGTGGGACCCTCCGCCGCACCTGCATACGTCTGAACCCGAGGCCTGCACTCTCCATCCCTTCTGAGCAGGGCAGTCCAGCGCCTTCAGCTTCTTCTGCATGGTCACCGCCCGATCCTCTGGATAGGCCTTCCTCGGCGGCATCTGCCCAAGAGCTGCTAGGGGGATCACTGACAGCGGTTGGAACTGGCTACTCGGCGCCGGCAAGATCTGAAAGTCGACCCCTCGCGGTGGCGGTGGCGGAATCACTGCGCAGGCGATGTCCTTGAGCAGCTGCTGCATGTGGGGCCACCGCCTGGTCCAGAGCTTGGAGTGCATCAGCGTGTGCTGCTCGGACATGCCGCCCCTTGACTCGTCCAGCGCGGCCGACGAGCCCGTCACGCGTGCGACGCAGCTGGCGCAGATGACGCCGTAGCCTGGCAAGTGAGACGCAGGGCCCCCGTGCTGGCTCCCGACAGCACCCGCGCCCACCTTGCATGGGCAGCACCGTGCCGGATCCCACGTGCCCTGAACGACGTGCACCTCGAACGCCCCCAGCCTGCTTGGGCCTGCCGCGGAGTAGGACACGTTAGAGGGCACCGCTCCGGGAAGCAACCGGTCCAGCTTGGAGAACCGGTCGAAGATGGCCCTGCCACGGTCCTGGCTGATGAAGTCTGCCACGGCCATGCCCTTGCGCCCCAGGGCGTCTCCGATTTCGCTCGCACGCCTCCTGTACTTCTCCCCCGCGCGGTGGGCTGGCAGGAAGACGCTCGAGCCCCACTTCATCTCGATGATGCAGGACGCAGAGGAGGTACGCCTGTCGCTCCTGGCCCTCCCCCACACCTCCTCCATGATGATGGGGGTCACCAATTCCTTGACAGGTGAGGGGTCGCTGAAGGATCGCTGCACAGGGGTGGTCGACCTCGACGCAGGCATCGACAGGGACCTAGAATTTGAGATCGACGAGCTTCGCCTGCGGCTCTCGATGTCTGGGTGGCACGAGAGGTCCACCCAGAAGCCCTCGGAGGTGTTGTCCGAGGGGGCGACGCGTGCTCTCGGGAAGAACATGCGTCGCGAGTGAGGGGGCGCGCTTGTGCAGCCGATGGCCCCCGACCTCGCCCTCGGCACGTGCAGCGCTGGAGCCCTGAGCCGAGATGGCTACGGAGGAGGGGGGGCGCTCTCCACCTCAGGAGCGAAACAAGGACCTACACATACATTAGTCCACGCTGGTTGCGAGAGTACGCATTGCGCAGATGTTCGTATCACGCGGCCAGTCTCGCGGATCGAGGGGCCGTGTTCATGTACATAGTTGGGCGCGTACGGCAGGTCCGTGCCGTGTCGACCCTGGCGTTGGTTTCTGACACCGCGCTGGATCGTTCAACCTTGAACGATCGGCCGTTTCCGCAACGTCCAATCGTTCAACATCGACCGATTCTGGGCCGCCGTCGGCATTCAACCTTGAACGCCCGCGTTGGGGTCGCCGCCGGTCGACACGACGCGAACCTACCGTACATAGTTGGGCGCGTACGTCCTCTGTGGGCTCGCAGTCCCCCCCGACTCCTGCCCTCCGGAGGGGGGGAGGGGGGGGCCCGGGGCAGCACTCGGGCCCCCGGCGGGCCACCAGAGGCGGGTCCACGGCGAAGGGCTGCCCCGGGGGGGGGGGAGCGTCGGGGAAGGGTCATGTCCTCCTACAGGGGAACAATCAAAACATAGTTTCTCCACCCAAGACATATGATGACACACAGAACAGCAAGAAATCGCAGCCAGACCATGTTCGACTGTTCCGGAACATTCTCCTGTAGTGGGGCATGCCCGACTTACGGGAAGGGGGCAGGTGCCCCTGGGGACTGAAGCAAAATCAGCATCATTGCGTTCCTGGCCACGCGCCACGGCCCCGAGCCCAGGCAGGCCATGCCAAGGGCAGACACCACAGGAAGGGTCTCGCAACACCCTCGCGGAAAGGGGCCCCCCGTGATCCCGCAGAACCCCGAGGACTTTCAAACCCCTCCTCGATCCTCGTCCTCCCCCTCCTCGATCCATCGATCCACGATCTCCAAGGGCAGGTGGTGACTCCCCTGGTGGTGATCCCTCTCGGCGCTGCCCGAGCTGGGGCAAGAAGCGAGGCCAATGCGACCTCGGGCCATAGTTCGAGGGCGCGCAAACGTGGATTAGCGATCCATGGATTTGGCGCGCGGTCGCCAAACCCATGTCGCCGAACCCATGGATCGGGGGAGGTGCCCTGCCCCAAAATGCGGCCGGTGCCGCCTCGCTCGGCGGCGGAAATCCGCAATTTCCCATGGAAACGGGACCCGCCGCGAATCCACGCCCCCTGGATCCATGCTTGCGATCGCCTGGATAGTCGGGGATCCTCGCACGGACGTCGTCGTCGATCTCGCTCGGCCTCGGTCCTTGCCCCCCTATGCTGCTCATACATACATGCATATATATATATATATATATCGACATATCTATCTATATATCTCTCTCTCTATCTATCTATCTATCTATCAGTCAATCAATATATCTCTCTATATATATATGTCTACCTACCTACCTACCTACCTACCTATCTATCTATCTATCTATCTATCCATCTATATATCTATCTATCTATCTATCTATCTATCTATCTATCTATCTATCTATATATCTATCTATCTATCTATCTATCTATCTATCTATCTATCTATCTATCTATCTATATATGTATATATACATCTATCTAGCTATCTATCTCATTCTCTCTCTCTCTATATATATATATATCGCGCTGGCTCGCTCGAGTGCCTGCGGGCCTGCTGGGCTTGGCCCATGGAAAATAGCGCGGTCGCCTCTCCAAGAGGGGGCCGCACTATCATCCGTCTGGGAGGAGGAGCTGGCCGGGAAGGGGGGGGGTGAGAGGTGCTGGCTGGGGGAAGAGGAGGAGCTGGCTGGGGGAAGGAGGAGGGAGAGGGCGTTCAGAGGCCCCAGAAAGCTCGAGAAATGCCCCTGCGCAAGGAGGCTCCGTGGGATCCTATCGAGGCTCGTGGGGAGGAACAGGAGCAAATGCTAAAGCCCCCTGCTTGGAACAGCTGGCGGAGGTGGAGCTCCAGCATGAAGGACACATGTCCTGGGCTCCAGAAGAGTGCCCGAGTGTCTGGCACGCCAAGCACCTAGCATCAGGTCGGGCCTGTCCCCCTACAGGCGGAGGCTGGGCGAGAAATGAAACAGACTCGATACATTTTCAAAACCTATTGAAAGCACTCGAACAAATCGTCCCCAGACTATTTTCTCCCTATTTTTGAATACTCCTCCTGTAGAGGGACGCGCCCGACCGAAACCTAGAAGCCCAAAGGGAGCGGCGCAGGGCCCTCCGAGTGGCCCTCGGCCCAAACCGCCACCCTGCCGAGGCCGCGGACGCAGGGCCTCCGAGAGGCCTCTTGGGGTCTGCTGGGGAGCCTCTCGCGAGCCTCGCCGAGGCGTTTGGGGGGCATCAGGGTTAGGTCGGGCATGTCCCCCTACAGGGGGACTTTGAGCGCCAAATGAAAAAGACTCAACACAGATTGAAAAGCAGTGGAAGCATCGTCCCCTGACGACTCATGGATCATTTCTGAAACTTCCCCCTGTAGAGGGACAATCCCGACTTAACATCAGGGGGCATCAGGAGGTCGACCGGCAAACCCAAAATACTCGTGCGGGCCTCAGCAGAAGGCATCTCGGGGCGAAGCCCGGAAACCCGTCGGGCGAACTTGGACTGTGTTCCAGGCCAGACGAATAATTTCACCTGACGCAGCCTCGGTCAGGGAAAAGCTTCCTAAGCGGCATTGTTGGCACTGCTTGCCGGTGCATTGCCTCGCTTGGCACTGCATTACTTCGCCCTGCTTGCGTTGTTTGGCGATGTTTTGCATTTCTCTGTATGGCTTGGTGTTCATTCGCACTGCTTGGCATTCTCTTGTACTGCTTTGCTTAGCATTGCTTAGCATTGCTTGGCATCGCTTCGCCTGGCTTTGCGTTTCTTGGCTTTACGTTGCGTGGCATCGTTTCGACTTCCTTTGCGTGGCTTGACGTTGCTCTGCATTGCTTGGCATCGGTTCGCAAAGCGTGGCTTCACTTGCATTACTTTGCGCTGCTTTGCATGCCTTGGCATCGCTTGGCATGGCTTGGCGCTGCCATCGCTTGGCATTGATGTAACATTTCTACCACGAGGGGAATGGTAAGCACAAGTACGTGGAGCAATATTGTTGGCAAGACGAGCGCAAGGCAGGAGAAGGACTGAGGAGAAGAAGGATTAGAAATTGGAGCATGACGAAGACTTCATGGGCGGCCGTGTGGGGTCCTTGGGGTTTTCGGAGGGCTTCTTGAGAGCCGTCTGGGAGCCTCTCGCGGGGGCTGTTGGGGGCCTCCGCGTGCTTGGGCCCCTCGGGGCGCTTTCCAAGTCCTCCGGGGAACCCTGGGGGGCTGTTTTGAGCCGCTTGTCTGCGAGGATTTCTTGGGCCCCCAAATGGTCTTGGCAGGCCCAGATTGTCGTTCGGGATTTTCCTGGGCTGTCTTGGCGCTGTCTTGGGAAGTCTTGGCGCCCTCTTCGGGCGCTCTTGGGGCCCTCTGGGTACCTCTTGGGGGCCCCTCGGGGCGCTATTGAAATCCCCTGGGGGGCCTTCGGGAGCTCTCTGGGGTCGTTTTGAAGCCCTCCTGGAGCGATTACAAAAAATCCTGGTTCGGAATCCTTTCTGGAATCGATTTTTGGAGGATGTTTTGAGCGGATCGGCAATTTTCCCGGAACCTGACCGGACAAGAACGGGAAGCTCCGTTGTGTCCGCGGAACCCGTTAATTAGTCGACGCGGAGATCCCCACATGTCAATCTCATAGTAATGACAAACTTCGGTAGAATACATTGTCCTTTTCAATATCCGAGCGTCAGCGAATCCACGTGGAAAACGAGGCCGAGAGAGACGCCGAAGACTACGACGGCTTTAAGAAGTTGCTTCCTCCTTCCGTCCTCCTCCTTTCCCTATGAGCCCCTGTCAGGAAAATCCATCCGTGAAGACGAGAACGGGCCGGTGCAATCCCCTGGCGCCCCCCCTTGGGAGTGCTGGAACCGGCGCCTCGCCTGAGATATCCTCAGAAACTGCTCCGAAAGAGAAGGATGTTGGGCACGCGAACAGGCACCGCCTCCCAATCTGGGCGCGAACGGGCCTGTGATTTACCCCCTGGCGCCCCCCCCTGGGAGTGCTGGAACCAGCGCCTCGCCTGAGACATCCTCGGAAATTGTTCTAGAAGCGAAAAATGTCGGGCACCGAAACAGGCAAACCGCTCGAGACATCCCCACCATTTTGGCGCGAACGGAAGAATGCAATACCCCCTGGCGGCCCCCCCCTTGGAGGCGAAAATGAGCGCCTCGCTCGAGACATCCTCCAAATCTGCTCCGAAAGCGGAGGATGTCGGGCACCGAAACAGGCAAACCGCTCGAGACATCCCCGCCATTTTGGCGCAAACGGAAGAGTGCATTACCCCCTGGCGGCTCCCCCTTGGAGGCGAAAGTGAGCGCCTCGCCGCCTCGCTCGAGATATTCTCCAAATCTGCTCCGAAAACGGTGGATGTCGGGCACCAGAACAGGCAAACCGCTCGAGACATCCCCACCATTCTGTCGCGAACGGAGGAGTGCAATACTCCCTGGCGGCTCCCCCTGGAGGCGAAAATGAGCGCCTCGCTCGAGACATCCTCCAAATCCGCCCCGAAAGCGGAAGATGCCGGGCACCAAAACAGGCAAACCGCTCGAGACATCCTCGCCGTTGGCGCGAATGGAGGAATGCAATACCCCCTGGCGGCTCCCCCATTGGGAGTACTGAAGCCGGCGCCTCGCCTGAGGCATCCTCACGACGTGCGTGTGAGTCTGAGCGCGGAAGTACTAGGAGTGTGAGTGAGTCTGCACATGAGTGATCCCGAGCATGAGAAACCTGAAGATCAAGAATGTAAGAGCGAGTGTATCTGAGTATGAGTGAGTCTGAATATGAGTGAGTCTACATGTGAGTGAATCAGAGAATGATGACCTGAGGGTGGGAGGTGTTGAGGGTGAGAGGTTCTCTCGCGT